TACAAGATTGAGGGTCCCCGCGCGCTTTTCAAGGGCCTCGGACCGAATCTCATTGGCGTCATTCCCGCGAGGAGCATAAACTTTTACACCTACGGCAACGGCAAGCGCCTCATTGCAGAATATGTCAACGGCGGCGAGGAAGGGGCGGGCGTCCACCTCGCAGCGGGCGTGCTGGCCGGCGTGACGACGAGCACGGCGACGAACCCCATCTGGCTCGTAAAGACCCGCCTGCAGCTTGACAAGAACGTGGCGGAGAAGAGCGGCGGCGTGCAGCAGAGGCAGTACCGCAACAGCTGGGACTGCATCAAGCAGGTGCTGCGGACCGAGGGCGTCCGGGGCATGTACAAGGGCATGAGCGCGAGTTATCTGGGCGTGGCGGAGAGCACGCTGCAGTGGGTGCTGTATGAGAACCTCAAGAACAGGCTGGCGGCGCGCGAGGAGCGCATCGTCGCGAGCGGGAGGGAGAAGACGTTTTGGGACCAAACGGTGGATTGGATGGGGAATGCTGGTGCTGCTGGCGGTGCCAAGTTGGTTGCTGCCATTCTTGCTTACCCTCACGAGGTATGATTTACACGATACTCTCTCTCCGATGACGGCTTTTCGTCATCGCGCCACTTGTGACATACTCACTGACACTACCTACTAGGTTGCGCGAACGAGACTACGACAGGCGCCCCTGGCCAACGGACAGCTCAAGTACACTGGCCTCTGGCAGTGCTTCCGCGTCGTCTGGATCGAGGAGGGCTTCATGGGCTTGTACGGCGGTCTTACGCCGCACCTGATGCGCACCGTCCCCAGCGCGGCCATCATGTTTGGCATGTACGAGGGTATACTACGCCTCTTTGGCGCCTCCAGCAAGGCAAGCGCGAGCTTGTGAGAAGCCTCGTCATGCCCTGCCGATGGGGGGTTCCCGACCAACGACCACCAACACTACCACCAAACGAGTTCTCACTACACGCCAGCGACGATTATACCAGACCTGCGCCCGAACTCCTCTTTGGATGTAACAACCTATTGTACTATAATACACATCAACACACACACACACACACACACACACACACACACACACCAAAACCCTCACGACCAAAACGATCGACGCAAAAAACCATCGCAGCTCTGGGAAATAAATGGAACGGATCGGGACTCAACGGATCAAGGGGACGAAGGGCTTTTCGACGATTCTCTTCTCATCCCCCTCTTTGACGGCTGTTTGACGAAAGTTTGAGGGTCTCTTCATGTACGATACGAGCTGAAGGCGAAACGATCCCTAGACTTTCTTGGTCTGAAAGGACGACCCCTTTTTGGCCCATTGGGGTGGAGGCAGCTCTTTCACGAGAAGCGTGATTTGAGCCCCGGCATGATTCACCTCACTGGTTAACACTATTCTTCTAGGGGGAGAACGAGGGGCATAAGAAGGCGTTTTGGGGGGAATAAAAGGGGAAACTCCCTCTATTGTATAAAATCAGTTTTAAAGAAAAAGAGCCCATGAGGTTTCATCTTCACTAGATGGCAGATGGTAAACATCTGTGTATCATAATGTAAAACAAAGAGAAAAAAGCAGCAATTTCAACCCGTCAATCATTCCATTACGATTATGTGCTCTGCAGTGATTCACGTAGTACGTGCAGTCGAGACATCGCAATAGACCATTGAATTTGATGAGTGAGAGTTTGTCTGGCGAGGGAGGGATTCCACCTGCCCTTTTTTCTTCACAGCCTCTTCCAAGACAAACACCCAGGTCTGATGTCTGAACTCCCTTCTCAGCTCTCGAAGCTCGCTTAATTCGATGCTAGAGGGTTCCTTCCTTCCTCCACCAACTGCATATTTCAACGCCACGTACCCTAGAGCTCGCTGCTTTCCAACATTTCAATCTCGAAAAATGTAAAAAAAAGGAAACAAGACTCCTCCCGCTGTCAGGTCGCCCTATAGAAGGAACAGGAAATTAACCTTTAAAAGAAAGCATGAACCGAGTCACTTACAATCCTCTTCCTGCACGGAAATGGGATCACCAGGCAACAACAGTCTCTGCACTGCACCCGGTCATACATGTATAATCCGTTACTGGGTATGGGTCGTTTTGTCAACAGTCATGATTCTCAAATTTTTCTTCATTTTTTTTTGCTTGATAACGCCTAGCCCAGCCTCTCCTCCTCCTCCTCCCCACCCCTCCACTTCCTCTTCCTCTTCCCATATCGAGGAGATAAGCAACGCTGATGCTGTCCGCCTCGGCGGATTTCGTGCTCGGCGCAAAGAAAAAAAAAGGGGGGGTGAAGAACCCAAGCTTCTTTTTTTTTTGGGGGGGGGGGGGGAACGAAAGCTGTTTTTGATGGGATAAAGCTGAACATCAACAAGCAATAAACACTACGATAAGGAAGAAACTAGAAAAAGAAGAAGGAGAAAACTCGCACACCAATGGCCGTAGACATTGACTGAACCCCCCATTTGCTTTTATACCACCCTTCAATTTTTGTCCAATCCACACGCATCCCAGGGTCCACCCACGTCCCAGGTTCCAAACAATAACCCAGGCGTTCAAAGGGGCTCATTCATAAGAGATGGAGCTCTTCGCAGTCAGCCCTTCTTCGAGCTGCATGTCGGTGCGATGGTGCTTGGGCGGCCTCTTGCGCAGTTTATTCGGTGATCGCGAAACAGACGAGGAGAAGCTGACGCGGAGCTTCAGTCACCACGCGTTGCGGTCCCAGTTGGGATCTGTCCCAAAATCACGTCAGTTCATGCCTTCTACGCCTCGATATCGTTGCAATCCACCCCGATAGCCAAGCGCAGCATCACCAAAGACTGTGCGTAGATAATCACAAGCCAGAAAGCCAGCCCTTACCTTGAACAAAAGCGGCCAAGACCTTGCTGCCCGTCTGCAGAAGCGGGTGTCCGACGACGATGCGCAAGAACTTTTCGAGGCCGGCGCGGCGGCCCTCGATGACGTCGTCGCTGAAGCGGTTCGTAAACACCTTGCCGGGCAAGGGCGGGATGGTGACGCGGGCGCTCTCGCGCTCGAGAATGTCGCGGAAGTACTCAAAGTCGGAGTAGCGGCGGCGCACGCTCGAGGCGCGGAGCTTGAAGGCGGGGATGTTGGTGCGGCAGACAATCTCGTAGTCGGTGTACATGCTGCGGCCCATGCCGTGGGTTCTGGGGTTGCGGACCTAGAGGGGAAAGGAGGTTTGTTAGATTGTGTGAACTAGATCCCTTGCTTCTGGGCGCATGCGACAATGGCCGGGCAGGCGAGCCGTGGGAAGGGTGAATAGAGAGCATTGGAGAGGGATTATCGTGACAGGCTAGAGAGGACCGGGGGTTGCGCTGCAGCTGTGGAAAGCTTGCTGGACGTTTCTCACCTCGATCTCGAGAAAGTTCTCCGGCGGGCCGTAGATTTCGTCAAAAGACTGTTGTCGGTTATCCGGCATTGCCTGCATGATGGGCCGGTGAAAGCGCGGCGAGGCCTGTGATCCGGTCGGGGAGGTGGGAGAAGTGGGCTCAGCGCTGGGAGCGCGAGCGGCGTTCTGGCTTCCGGAATCCGTTTTGGCGGCTTTGTCCTCGGTGGGAAGAGGGGAGTTGCGGTCGGCGAGGCGGCTGTTTGTTTCTCACGTTCTTTCGCGCGAGGGATGGGCGGGGGAGAGGGCGTAGAGACTGTCGTCGAGGTACGGTATGCGCAAGCGCGATATCGGGTTCGGTGGAAACGGCTGCTCTCTTCTGTGCTGACTGCTGTTCCGGGATACCCTGCTCCTTCTCTTTCCTGTAGCTATTGTCTGCTACGAACCGGTGAGACTTGTCGTGTGACTGGGACCTTTGTTCCGAGGCGAGGCGATGTGAGGTGAAGTTGGGTTGTTCGTTGTGGGAAAAAATGTCGAGGTGGGAGGGAGGTGGGGGAATCAAGGCGGGTGCGAAGTGCGGCCGATTACGACAAAAATGGGTGGCAGCAATCAAGCAGTGTGCGGCGTGGTTTACCTTGGTCCTTGGGTGCCTGTCACCTTACTGTAGCTGGTGGAATTGCGGGGGAGCAATATGACGAACGCCAGTCCCGGCCGCTGCCGCAATAGACCGGTTTGCTTGATTATTGGGAGGAGGAGGCTGAGCCGATGCACCGTCTGAGGGTACGAGGTGGGGGGCACTTCCTCGTAACTGTGAGCGGTACGGACAGCGGTACGGGGTAGCGCTGCCCAATTGAGCAGGTGGGGGTACCTTGTGGACCGGGAGGTATTTCTGGAGTTCCCAAGTGCACAGCAAGTAAGGGTAACTACTCAGTTATACACCACTTTCACTTTGATTGAACGGGTCTGGGTGTGTAGCAAGGAAAGTAAAACTGGACTGTTGGTTCAATGGTCTTCCTTTCTTTCCTCGCATTTTATAAGTTTCACAGGACTGACTCCCTGGGTTCCAACCAAATCTCAAGCTGCTGTTGGAATTAAGGTTGGATTCGCGTTGCTGAAATAGATATCTTTTACCCCATTCAGCAGAACCCCAACTTTTCGGAACTACCTTTCTTTCTGCAGATCGCCCTCGTTGTATCTTAGCCTCGTGTGCCATGTGCGTCCACTCCTCGATGCTAGCATACAAATACATTCATTGACCACCAGCAGGTGCAGTGTGCATGTTGGACCACTGCTAAGGCACCCTGCTCACGTCTCGCGGCCAGTGGGCCTCGACCATTCCAGTCTTCCGGCGTCGGGATCACACTGCTCGCCGCAGCAGACGCCATAGACCGGTGGTAAATGGGTAGGATGATGCTGGGGCGACATGAGTCCTCTGAAAATAAGCAACCAGTAAACGCCGAGTTCTCACCTCCAAGCCAATCCTCTATTCGTGTTTGTACACTGAATCCGCCACGTTCCCGGAGCCTGGTTCTGACAGCTTCAGCTTCAGTAACCTCCTCCAGCCGAAGGAGTTCACGCCGTCATTTCATGTCCGAAATGCTCACGACCTCAGACTTCGGCATCTGAGACGTGCGTCTTGCCCGATCGATCCAGCCATCGTCGGCCCCTACCCGCTCACTTCTTGTCCGCAAATCTCTGGTGAATAGCACGGATCTGCTCCTCGACATTCAGGTTGTGCAGGTGGTTGATGTGAGCCTGGCTCTTACCATCAGGATTACCATCGAAACTATGAATCGTGGCCTTTTTGCGCCGAGCAGCCTCTTCTTCCGACAGGGGTTGGCCGGTGACGCCGTCAAAGACGTCGCTTCTCTGACTGGCAAGTCGCTTCAAGTTATTTGCGACATCCGCCGTGGACAAGTTGGTCGTGGAGTATCTAGCTTCTGCCTTTGCCTTTTGGTCCTTCCATTGAGGGTCCAGCAGTTCAACTACAGAAACTGTTAGCAATATTCAACTTTCATTCTGCAAGGCAGCTGTCAGGCTTACTCCTCATATGATCCTGCAGCTCATCCATGGGAATTTGCTGCTTGCAGTTCGGGCATAGCGCCATCTGGACACTCTGTTTGTTGGCCGCTCGTTGGAGTGCGCGGGGCACGTAGTTCTCTTTAATCTTCATCGGAGCAGTTCCGCCACGAGCTTCAGCGCGTGCTTGTTGTTCCCGGGCACGTGCCTCTGTCCTCTCCTGGATCCTCCGCTCTTCCTCCTCCTCTTCTGCTGATCGTCGCGGTGTGCCGTCTGGATATCCTTGGAAGCCTACTGGGGCTTGCGCCTGGAATTGCTGCTGCTGCTGAGGCGCATAGCCAGTGTGAACTGGTAACGTCTGAGAGGTCTGGGGGTAGGCGTTGTACGAGGTTTCCTCATCGGGCATGGCCTCCTCAATGCGAAGATTGGTTAATGATGCCTTGTTCCTCTCCTCGAGGGAAGCGTATTGCAGTTCGGAAAGATTCGTCGGGGGCGGCAGGTTCGCGGACTCGTCGGCATCTGTGAAGACAATAGTCTCGACAACCACAAAGTCGTTCCAGTCGATCCGGGCAAACTCAAGCTTCTTCTTCTCGTCTTCCTCCTCTTTCTTTACCTTCTCAACTTCCTGGAACTTTGAGTACTCGGCACGTTGCTTCGCGCGGCTCAGAACATGGTACTTGTCGTCGATGTTTTGCTGGATATGGTTGATCCTCTCTTGCTCAATCTTGCCGCCTTCGCCACCCAAGCCGCTGGCTCTCAATAACGCTGTATACTGGTCGACCTGATGTTGGAAAAAGTTGTGGAACGTGTGGTTCGGAATGAGGAATTGGAACTGGGGGTTTCCGGCCTCGCGTTGGGCAAGCTGGGTCATAAACTGGCGACCATTCTTCGCGACAAATAGGGCGGTCAATCGGATGACCTCGAGATCCTTCTGATTGATGCGCGGCATGCGGGCCGAGAACTGGAAATCGGGAGGCTTGGGCGGGCCTTGGGGCTTCTGCTCGACGGGTGTTGCTGCTTCGTTGGCGCGTCCTGCTGCGATGGCGGTGCCGCGGCCGGCCTTGATCTCATCAAGGCGCCACTGATAGAATGCATGGTATGCGTCGGTATTGTTAAGGAAACTGAATTTGGGGTTGGAGCGCTCCTTTTCGCGAATTCTGTCCTCAAAGATGAGACCGTTTCGCGCAACGTAACCTGCCGTCTTTTCGAGAACATTACGAATCTCGCGAGGCGGCAGAACAACACCGGTAGGAGGCTTGAGTTCGTCCAACACGGCGGCGGCGTCGCCGTTGGTCGCAGTCGAGGCCATATTGTGTGAGGAGGGCGCTCGCAGTTCGGAATGATGTCGTCAGGAGGCGGCGCGTTGGGTGGAAGTCGAAACGAAGGCAAAGCTCACCAGCCGCGTTCGTTAACTTTTTTCGGAGGTTCCCAGGCAACCTCGACGCCGAACCGGCTGGCAAGTATCTTAGTCAGCCGATTTTTGGGAGGACGCGGTGCACGGGCCATACTGGTTTCCACCTGCATATTCGTCGCATTTGGCCATCTTGGGTCCTGTGAACAACCTCAGGTGGCAGGTGGTTCTCCATGACACCTATCTTACCTTCATAGTGAACAATGTTGCTCATTATCATCACCAAGGCCCATGGCGTGGCGGGGAATGTCCTCGTTTGAATTGCCCCGCTCCCATGGGTCACGAGTTCGAGTCTCGTGAAAAATCGCTAGTATCGTCATAGGTTACAACTGAGGAATAGTACGTAACAATGATCTAGTGATTTTCGTAGGCTCCCCGTGAGGGGGGCTGAGCTTTTGCATCTTTCTTCCAATGAATGATGGATGATGATATCTTTTGGTCTAGACTCTTCTTATCGATGTGGAAGTAAGTAGGTAAGTCTGTTGGTCCTCGGAGTGCCGTCAAGCTTCTCTCACTTACACCACGGCAGTGCGTTAACCACTTCTTCCGAATCCCCGGCCTTTCAAGAGTTTGGTTGACATCTTTTGCAGGAACCAAAACCGATGGTCTTGAGTAGGTTCTGAGCCAATCATGATTTCTGCTTCTAGGAGTTGTCTCAAAGCGGGAAGCAAGGGATTGTCATCAGAGGCATATGTCTAAGAATGAAGGGATGCCGTTGAAGCTGCATTCCGATATCACAAATTCCACCTGCTCACATACCTTGGCGAGGCATTGAACAGCCACTCAACGCGTGCCACTCGCTCTCCAGCCCTTTGAGGCTCGAGCAAGGTGGCTTTATGATGTCTCGAGGCTAGCCAGTTATTCACCAGAGGCAGAAAGGCTAGTTGGTGGCCATGGCGATGTTTTCATCGCGTTCTGCATATGGGGGCTAAAATCGATGTCGAAACCTCCATATGCGGTGCGTGACACTGCTGCAATGGAAATAGATTGTGGGGCCATTTGGTGCAGTTGAGAAGGATAGGCCTAGGTGAAGTTGTGTGAGGTAGAGTTGCCTTACGTACGCCGTCTCTTTTTCAGCCGCATTGTACCGGTGCACAGGCCAGCGTCCATCAATAGTGGGCATGGAGAGCATGGATGGGGTCCATCGCGCCAGTGCGTCTACGCCTAGGCGGATGAAAAGCTGAACTCTGTCAGTACCTAGTTGGGATAGGTACCTTAGGTATTTGAGGCCGGTCGCAGAAAGAACAATGGGCAGCCACAGCACGTCTCCCGCCGTCTACATTTGGCGCTAGAGGAGCACGGGTACGCGGCCGGAGCTAAGATAACGCAGCTCCAAAGCAGGTACTCCAAGACATTGGACGGGCTAAAATTTATTTTATCTCCAAGGTACGTTTATGGATAGCTCTCTCGTGTTAAGGACACTTGTCCAACATCAACCGTGTCTTCTTGTACGTTGGATCGAGGACAAGATTAATGTAGAGTATTGCGCTCTGACGGTTATGTGGGAGGAACATCTAGACAATACCTTACGGTGTAGGTATGAGTAGTTGGGGTCCAGGGCTTTGCTACCACCTCACATGCTGATTGACAATCAATCGGTACCACCGTGAAGCGCGTAAAGTGCTTCTTACCTCAGATTGGCAAACTTCCAAAGGTAACCCCCGGCGCATCGGTGGGGTGTAAGGTGGTCCAAATATACGCGTCCACGGGTCCCCCCCTTACCCGAGCTTTTTAGGGATCACGTTCACTGTCAATTCGAGCAGCATGTCGGTGTACCTCACGGACTACTTTGACCACTGACATGATTCTATTCCTTTTATAAGTGAGATGGTAGTGTAATGGAGGTGGTGAGCGCCCGAGAGAGAGGCGTCTGCCCTGCTTGTCCGCACGTCTACTCCGTGCTGAGTGCCCGTACTGTCTACTGTCTAAGGGGTCGACCCAGCCGTAGGGAATCGTGGGAAGGGGGGCGTGGATGGACTCAAGGGGGGAGGGGGATCACTGGATGGAGCCAGGAAGGTCCCAGGCAGGCCCTAGCTTCAACCAATTGCTGGCTGTCAAACCACATGGGATGAGGCCACTTAAGCTACAACTCCGACCCTGACCCCCTTATCCTCCCTTCCAGCCTGGCCTCCCCCCCAGCTGTCATCAGCTTCCGCGGTGTAAACTTTCCGCCAGGCAGTGAGCCCAGATTCTACCTTAACAGTTACTTCGTTTCTCTACGGATACCTGCCCCTGCTCCCTTTTCCTTCCATCTACCTTACTCCAACCAGGAAGAAAAAGCATCCTCCTTTTTTTTCTTCTTGTTCCATTGAGGGCATTCTTCTACTGAGCCCGTCATTCACCTTTGCTAAATGACGGCCTTTTAATCCACCTCTTCCCTTCTCGACTTTCGTTGATCCCTTTTCCCACTTCTCTGCCACTCGATCGACGCGAGAAAACCTCGCCTACAATTCTCACCTTGCTAGGTGCTGACGACCGCTCTCCGCCTTCGTCGTCCACGTCGCCCGCTACCAAGTCGTAGCTGCCGTCGACATTGAGTGGACGACATTTGCGCCCGCCCCGAATAGTCCGACCCTCTCCCCACCAATCGATACTCCTTCTCTGCGAACATGGCTGCCACCAAGCCAGTCCGCTCTCCGAGCCCCAAGCTCGAGAAGCAGGCCAACGGTGTCAACGGCATCAATGGCAACGGCAATGGCCATAGCAAACTCCCCGTCAAGCGCGAGTCGAGCTACAAGTCCGACGGTGTTGAGGACAACGATGTCTTCCTCCTGCCTGTTTCCGACTACCAGATCATGTTTGGCTTGACCATCCTCGCCGCCATCGTTCGCCTGTTCCGAATCTACCAGCCCACCAGTGTCGTCTTTGACGAGGTCCAGTAAGCACACATATACCCCCTTGCCTCCCTTTCCGCGCGCATTGTCGCTGACGCCTTCGCTCTACAGTTTCGGTGGCTTCGCTTCGAAATACATCAAGGGCAAATTCTTCATGGATGTCCACCCTCCTCTGGCCAAGATGCTCATCGCTCTCACCGGTTGGTTGGCTGGTTTCAACGGCGACTTCGACTTCAAGGACATTGGCAAGGACTACCTTGAGCCCGGCGTTCCCTACGTCGCCATGCGCATGTTCCCGGCCATTTGCGGTATCCTGCTCGCCCCTCTCATGTTTCTGACTCTCAAGACCACCGGATGCCGCACCACTACGGCTCTGATGGGCTCCAGTCTGATCATCTTCGGTAAGTGCAAAGTGCCTCCTCACGCATATACGAATCACTGACCGACAATCCTTCCAGAGAACGGCCTTCTTACCCAAGCTCGTCTCATTCTCCTCGACTCTCCTCTCATGGTCGCAACCGCCTTTACCGCCCTCTCCTTCCAGTCTTTCACGAACCAGCATGAGCAGGGACCCGAGAAAGCTTTCCAGTTGAGCTGGTGGTTCTGGCTCCTGATGACTGGCCTGGGTCTGGGTACCACCGTCAGCATCAAATGGGTTGGTCTATTCACCATTGCCTGGGTTGGAAGCTTGACCCTCGTCCAGCTTTGGGTTCTCCTTGGAGACACCAAGAACGTTACGCCGCGCATCTGGGCCAAGCACTTCATGGCTCGCGCCTTCGCCCTCGTCATCATCCCCGTCGGCTTCTACATGGCCATGTTTGCCATTCACTTCCTTTGCCTGGTCAACCCTGGTGATGGCGACGGCTTCATGAGCTCAGAGTTCCAGTCTACTCTTAACTCCAAGGGCATGCAAGATGTGGCCGCCGACGTCGCTTTCGGTAGCCGTGTCAGCATCAGACACGCCAACACACAGGGCGGCTACCTGCACTCCCATCCCCTCATGTACCCCACCGGTAGCAAGCAGCAGCAGATCACTCTCTACCCCCACAAGGATGAGAATAACCTTTGGCTCCTCGAGAACCAAACCCAGCCTCTTGGAATCAACGGCGAGCAGATCAACGGAACTCAAGCCTGGGACAACCTCCCCGAGCCTGTCTTTATCAAGGATGGCGATGTCGTTCGCCTTTACCACACTCCCACATTCCGTCGTCTTCACTCCCACGACGTCAGACCCCCTGTGACGGAGGCTGATTGGCAGAACGAGGTGTCCGCTTACGGCTACGAGGGCTTCGAGGGCGACGCCAACGACTTGTTCAAGATTGAGATTATCAAAAAGCAGTCTCTCAGCGCCGCTTCCAAGGAGCGTCTTCGCACTATCGAGACCAAGTTCAGATTGGTTCACATCATGACTGGCTGTGTACTCTTCTCCCACAAGGTCAAGCTCCCTGAGTGGGCCTCTGAGCAACAGGAGGTCACTTGTGCAAAGGGAGGTACCCTTCCCAATAGCTTGTGGTATGTCGAGTACAACGAGCACCCGCAACTCACCGGCGACAATGTCGAGAAGGTCAACTACCGTCACCCTGGCTTCTTTGGCAAGTTCTGGGAGCTTCAAAAGGTCATGTGGAAGACCAACGCCGGCTTGGTCGAGTCTCACGCCTGGGACTCGCGTCCTGACTCGTGGCCCTTCCTCAAGCGCGGTATCAACTTCTGGGGCAAGGATCACCGCCAGATCTACCTGATGGGCAACCCCATCGTGTGGTGGAGCTCTACCCTTGCTGTCGTTATCTACGTTCTCTTCAAGGGCATCGCGACTCTCCGCTGGCAGCGCAGCTGCAACGACTACTCCAACACCACGTTCAAGCGATTCGACTACGAGATCGGCACTGCGGTTCTGGGCTGGGCTTTCCACTACTTCCCGTTCTACCTCATGGACCGTCAGCTGTTCCTTCACCACTACTTCCCCGCCCTCTACTTCGCAGTCATGGCATTCTGCTCCATCTTTGACTTCGCCACCGCTCGAGTCTCGCTCGCTGGTATCCGCAAGAACCCTGCCATCAACCGCGTCAGCGCTGTTGCCTTCTTGGCGCTCACGATCGTCGCTTTCGTGCTCTTCTCTCCTTTGGCTTATGGTAACGCCTGGACCAAGTCTGAGTGCAGCCGGCTCAAGGTTGTTGGCACATGGGATTTCGACTGCAACAACTTCTTTGACGACGTAAGTAACACTACTGCTTTCATTCCGAGTAGAGGGGTACCGGATAGGGGGTTGTAAGAGCCAGTGATGAGATGAGACAAATCTTGGCTCAGGCGGGATCGATGTTGAGAAACGGTTGATAGCCAATTGAAACGAGATTTGTCAAAGCATCTTTGGTAGGGCTTGTGAATCTGATGGAATGGGGCTAACATCACGTTCTGGCATTACAGTACTCTCAATACACTGAGCTCCTCACTCGCACTTCCGCTGCTGTTGGAGCCACGCCGACGCCTATCAAATCTGAGGCTCCCGCCGCCCCTGTAGGTGGTCAAGTCGGTCAGATTCCCATTGGCGAGGCTCAGAAGGAGCAGGCTGAGCCGGCCGTCTCGGGAGCCCCTGGACAGAAGGTTCTGTCCCGCGAAGAGAAGGTTGAGTACCGGGACCAGGACGGCAACCTCCTCGACGAGGCGCAGGTGAAGGCGTTGGAGGGCAAGGTCGAGTTCAAGACGAAGTACGAGACGCGGACACGCGTCGTTGACGCAAGTGGAAACGAGGTGCAGATGCCCGAGGGCGGTTTGCCCCAAGAGCAGAACGTCGCTCCTCCTCACCCTGACGTTCAGGGCGTCGACCAAGAGACCAAATCCAAGGCCGACGACTCAGCCGCGGCGCCCAAGGTCGCCGAGAGCGTCCAGGGCCAGAGGGAGGCCGAGCAGAAGAAGGCCAAGCCCGCAAGTGATGGCGGCAAGGAGGCTACTGCTCAGGAGGAGCTCTGAACTCTAAACTTGGAGAAAAAGAAGGTGATAAAAAAAATCTGGGGCTGGACTGTAATGGCCTGATGAGAGGGGAAAGTTTGATCAAATTCATCTTTTGATCTCACGGATTTTCTCGCTTTCTGCGTCGCAATTCGCCCCGTTGTATACCAGCCGTGAATGGGAGCGGACAAGACGGGATGGTGGAAATGGGGGTCGGCCACAAAACGCCGAAGCTTTGTTTTTTTTTTTTTTCCATTTGTTAATGTAAGATTCCAAAAAGAAATGACATGTCCAATAAATGCTGCTCCTAGGTGATTTGCCAAAGATACTCACCCGGAACCTTAATGTGTCTCTGGTATCTCGACGATGGAGCCTACCTCGGTCACAGCCACTGGAAATTGAGTTGGAATAAGATGCGTCTTATTCAACGGTAGTCATTATACCTTTCACTATAGGAATGAAAAGGCTCTCTCACAGTTCAAGTTGCAATGCAGATAGACAGGTTTTGAAGGTTCATCCAATGCTCGAGGCATCATCATCTTTGGCATTAATAAGAAGGCATTACGATGCAGTAACCTTGTATCTGTGATCCCCCCTCCCATCCCCCTTTGTTCCTGTTGTTTGTCTAGCAACTTTGCCTGCTTTGATCCAGCCTTCTTCTCCTGCTCCCATGACGGCAACTGTTTGCTTGTCCTCCCTTTTTTCGGAATGGGACACAGTTTTTGTTCTCCAAAACGCCAATGCCCCCTTCCTAAATGGATGCCCAGAACGAAGAAAAAAAAAGAAATAGGTGAATTTTGCACCCTCTGTCCATCCTATTGTCACGGTTCCGTGAATTCGCTCTGCCTCTTCCTTGACTTCCCCCATGTTGTTCTCCCGTTTGGTCTTCATTATGAGCCCCGGCATTTCTGCAATGGCAGCGTAGGGTGTAATTAATACAGTATCGAAGATTAAGTGTATGTGTTGCGTATCAGAAATCGGGGATCGATCGTTACGATAAGTCGCTCATGATTATGCTGTGGCTTCGACCTTTTCCTCGGTTGTCGCAACGATAATTTGCTGCTCCTCTTGGATGGGAATATTGATAGACAGTCGTTTCTCGCCGTCCTTCTCTGCAATAGAGCCCTTCTCTGGCGAAGACGACAGTGTTGAGTTTCGATTACTCGGGCAAGGCGTCTCTGGTCTTGCTAATGACTCCTCGGCATCCAGCTGGCTGGCCGTCTCCTCGAGGGGAGTGGCAAAGGGAGTAGCGTCATCATTGGTGTTCTCCGAAGGCGTCACTGCCACCTCTGGTCCAATGTCTCTAGACTCGCTATCATGGCTAGTCCGAGGGCTCTTCTCCAGGGGTAGTGAGTGATGATGACTGGCCGGGACGACGCCACCACCGATTCGGGACCAAAACATCTGTTCCCGCAGGCGAACGCTTTCCTCCCAGGCAGCCTTCTCTGCGTCTTCGTCCTCCGCTCGCCAGTGCCCGTCTTTTACGATACGCAAAAAGTTGAGGAAATCGCACGTTGATCTCACACGACCTAAGCAATATTTGCAAAGAGGGTATCTCTGAGCTGATTCAGACTCGCTGGTTCGGAAACGGTATGTTCGCAGGTGCTCTTCATCCTTCCGTGCGTCGCCACACAGGGAACAGGGGTAGAACTGCGGCTTGACAATTGAGGCAAAGGGTGCATTGGCAGGAATTGGCTCCACCACGATTGAGCCATCGCTCATGGCATTCAAAACGCTGCGACGCGCAAGCCAGGACAGGCCCGGGGCGATATCCAGTCGGAGTGTCGGCTCAACATCCTCTGCCAGGACACGCTTGAAAAACTTGGTTTCCTTGAGAGCCGGCGGGGGCGGGCCCACGTTGGCTGAGGCCGTGCTTGAGACAGAAGCTGGGGTATTCGGGGTCTGCGGCGATGACGTAGCCGGAGTCCCAGCCGTGGATAGGGAAGCAGTTGATGCATTGGAAGGGTGAGCGCTTGAGGTGCTGCCGCCCATGCCGAGACCCAACCCACTCAGACCGTTATATGAGCCAGACGAAACACGGCTACCAGCGCGATTCCTGGACAGCTTTGTAAGGCTAAGAAAGTCCTCGTAAGCTCCCAGATCAGTCCTAAGAACTGGCTGAATGAGATGCGTCAAGCTAGTAGGGTACGTCGGCGAAGACGGATCCAAGAGAGGCGAAGCGACGAGGCCTTCTGAGCGATCATCATCTTTCGTGATATCGGGTTTACTAAAGCCGGGAGAGGAGGGAGCTGTGCCGGTTGTAGCATCATCTCTTTCGAGCATCATCTGCTCCATGACGTGCTTTAGGTCTGCTAGTTGCTGTTGTTGAGAGGTCAGCAAGGCCTCCATATCGCCAAGCTGAGATCTCAGATTGTCGTTCTTTCGTTGGATGGCCTCCTGCTCCACCCTCGCCTCCTCTTTCGCAGTAATGACCATGTTGTTGGCCTCCTCGAACAAAGCCGTGGAAAGACTCTCCAACTCTTGTTCAATCCTCTTTTGCTCCTTCTCAGCGTCCTCTCGGAGTTTCTTCTCTTGGTTCACACGGAGCATGATGGTCTTCTTTTCTTCCTCTGCGGTCTTGCGACGAATCCAAATATCGCCCGCAAGCATCTCTCTTTGAGATTCGTTCTGTTCTTCTAAATGCTTGATTTTCTCGCGTGCTCTTTCCAACTCTTGTCTTGTGGCGGATAATGTGTCGTCGAGGGTTGTCTGGTGGTTGATGGCGTTTATTAATTTGGCGCTCAGGGTTGCGACTTCGTCATTCAGCTCGGGATGCTGAGCAGCATCGGCTTCACTAGCGGGACTCATAGCCCGGCTGCGGGGGTCAGGTAGCGTACTCAGCTCGCCGTCATCGTCTGGAGGTGTCACTGTTGTCGTGGGTCGAAGTGTCGGTGAGGATGCTACTGAGGAAGACATGATGGGCATGTCGACAACGGAAGGTGCTTGACTCGTCGTTTTCGTGGCTCGGGGGCTTGGTGACGGAGATCGAGCTATTGAAGAGAGAGATCGAAAATGGCCAAAAGGTCTTCCACCGGGTTGAGGGCTGGTATGTTGTGCCCAGCCAGCGACGGCGATAAAGCTGTGCCACACAAGATTAGTTACAGCCATTTGACGGCGCTGAGTGCAAAGTGCAAGCCGGTGCTGATCGCGACTTTCTCGAGCTGACCGGGCAGAGACAAGAGAAAGAACACGAGAGGCATGGCCCGGTTATTGAAGGATGAGAGACATACGAATCCATTCCCTCTGAATTTGCCAGCCCGCTTGGGACGAGAGACAGAAGCTACCAAGTATGTACTTGGGTAATTGGGGTTGTTGGATGGTGAGACAATGCGTTGGCAAGAGCTGGCACCACCTTAGATGAGATGGGTCTAACAGCAGGCGCGAGGCGTATGACAAGCAGCAAGCGACTGGCAGGCGGAATGCACGGTAGCCAATGCCGATTGATTGGTGCTAGCAATCAGACTGGGGCCGAAGTGGAAGGGCCGGAATGGGGGCGTTGGCCTTTAGATATCGCAAGAGACCATGGCGGTGCGAGCTATGGAGGTTGAGATGCGGATTCTCCTCTCTGGCTATGTGCAAAGATGGCGTGTGGGTGTGTATCTGTGTGAGGATTGGTCGGGATTAGGCGTGGTCGTGAGGCAGTTCGTGATCGTGAGAGATTGGCGGACGAGGCGGGTCACTGTAGGTTGTAGTAAGTAGTAAGAAAGGTGAGGGGGTTGTTGGGATAGTTAGGAATAGGAAGGAAGAGGAGAAGAAGAGGCGAGGTGACAGGTCGAAGCCGAGCAGCGGAGCAGCCTTGGACTTTGAGTGTTTTCGGCGTGGTTGGCAGGAGCCGAATAAGCAGGCGGGAAGTAAGGTGGTAAGGTAGCAGTGGTGGCAGAGCAAAAGAGCCCAGGCGGCGGCGGCAAAGTGAAAAGAGCACCAGCCAGCGAGAGAGAATAGGATGAGAGAAGGACTGGGGACCCGAGAGGCCATGACCAGTGACAGGGACCAGGACTGGAACTGGGCGGGTGACATGGGTGGTATTGGACGGGTCGAGCGTGAGGAGCACGGCGTGGACGGTGGTGAGCAGCGCGCGACAGGGACCAGATGTCCAACTTGCGCTTGCCAACTTCCATTGTGGGTGGCAGGTGCGGAGCGCAGACCAGACTTCACCTGGACAGGCAGGCAGGCAGGCACTGGCCTGCAGCGTCAGTCGGTCCTGCCACAAGACGGGAGACGGGCACAACGGGCAAGAGAGAGAGAGAGAGAGAGAGAGAGAAAGAACCTCCAGCGCCTTCCCAGTGCCTCCTTGGGACTGGACCGGGCGGGGCGGGACCGGACTGGACAGGCGTGGGATCGTGGTTGTGGATGCATCGAATAGCAAGGAGGGTGTGGGTCTGCGCAAGAGCAGGGGTGGGGGCGGTGCAATCGCTGGGAGTGGGACGGGCCCGAAAGGGTTCTAGGTTAAAGTACCTGCAGTCTCGATGCTCACTCACCTCAGCTTTCATTACAGCGGTTATTCTCAAATGCGGTCATGTCGTTTACTCATGTTGTTTTGACAAGTATGTAAGCTAAAGGTTTGCAGTGTTTGCCCTGTCGTGCAGCCCAAACTGCATTTTGCCTCAAGCTCCTTCATGTAGGTGCCTTGATAGTATTGATCTTACTCAGCTCCAGATGTTCCCCTCACCAGCCATCAGTCATTGATACACCACACTAATACTCGGTAGACATAAGCAAGTTGTGCACGAGCAGGGGTTAGGAGGTCGGCCATGAGGTAGCGGCCTGGTGGCAGGTGAGCTAGCCGAGTGTGACGACGTGACGACAACGAGACAGAAGCGATTGACATGATGGACACGATTGAATACCACTTCCACACTTCGTACAGCTGCACATGTCTTCCCGTCCCATCCCATTCCATCTCATCGCGTGTTCAACACCGGGGCTGTCGGTCGGTCGGTCGGTCTTTCGGTACAGAAGACGCTAAGGCAAGACAGAAAGCTGCAAATGATCTCGCGGTGGGGAACTGGGGCCATCGGTTTGGTCTGGAGCACCTGGTCACAATGTTCAAGACAAGTTCGCCATTCAACTGTCATTGTGGACCTTGCTTTTTTGGCCGTTAGCTAGCCTTGAACATGACACTCACGATTCTCGCATCTTTTCGCACGTCTTGCACCGGGGGCCGGTCAGTTGCCAATGTGGGCAGACAGACCTTGGCCGCTGGAGATGACGACCACCTTTTCAAAGTAGTGATTCGCTTTCGCCCCCTTTGCGCGCTTTTTCCCACGGGCCAAGCTCTCTCAATCCCGTCACAGCCACAACTCAATTAAAAAAAAAAAACCACCCAGCTCCGTCATTACACCTCTAGTCCCTGATTTCCATCGGCGCTGCTGCCGACAGGCCCGCACGTCCAACACTTACGCAGCAAGGTAGTTCGTACCGATGCGATGCGAGCTGAGCTGGATCACACACTCGTCACTGACTATTGGATCTACTACACGGCATGCGACGATCAAAAAGCGATTTAAGGCGCGGGCGTGCAAATGAATCGGAAGACGATTTCAAATCGCGTTGTGTGCGAGTGCGAGACTGGCTTTTTGTTCCCCCTCTAAACCAAATACCCAGGAAAAAACAATTCCTAATTTGAGAAAACAGAAAGCAAGTCTACCAATCAGCGAGTCGGTGGTAGTGAGTTATGGCAATGAGATGAAAACGTCTCAAGTTCCTCCCGCAAGTAATCCAATTTAATTCACCTCGGGTTTACTTCAATTCGGCCAAATTCCTCAGCGCATTCCCCTTCGCTCCCTCTCTCGCTGCCCGCCTTATGCAAACGACGGGAGTGATGGGAACCTTGGTAGGCACTTTCATTATCTAGGTACCTCCCACCACTTGAGTTCAATGATTGTTGTAGCACGTGGTTTCCCTTAGCACGTGGTTTTTCGTTCCCAAAGGTACCTGCCTCACTTCTAGGTACTTCCTCTTCGTCTTCCCGCTGTGCCGAGTGGCTGCAGCTTTTGGCAGCAGCGAAGAGCAGAGACAAGAAAGAAGGCAAAAAAAGGGAAAGAGCACGGACGCTGGGCTGGTCTCAGCTGGGCAGGTATCTTCAAGTGGTCAAAGTTATGAACGCCTGTCGTTTATACGGCTACTCTTTCCCGGTGTTTATGCATGGATTGTCGATTGTCCATCTTATGTGTCTTAGTCAGCCGCCAGAATCCCTCCCTCCCAGTAGGTAAGGATCCCACGTTCCTTTCCATTTCGTTTCCGCGGACCACAGAGACCCAGAGTTTCCAGAATCGCGAGAGCCAAGACTCAAAGAAAAGGTGAACCTGATCCTCCCGCCGTCTCCCAGAGTCCCTCCACCCAGAACCCAGGGCTCAACAGCCTCAAGGTTCTTCAACTCCCTACCCTTTTGCATTTACCTGCCGCTCGCCTGCACATGCAAACGTTGGCCCCACCGAATTGAATCCTCGCTTTATTACTTCGGTACGCCGCACTAGGCACAGCCCGTTCAAACGGACCCCGAACCTGACGCGCACGCCTTGCTCCTGTACAAGTTGGAACACGACACGGGTCACCCCAGCCAACATCGTGTCCGCTGATCTCAACTCATATTTTACGAATGTCGTCTATCCGTATCTCCATCCCTTACGAGACCCCGGTCTACACTAAAACACCCTCCAAAGCTGATTAGTCGCATTTTGGCACTATTTCTCTGTATCGGCTCGCCCCTAACTACACTAGGTAAGCATCCCTGATACCTGAGATCTATCGTTGAGCCTCCGAGGATACGGATACAGACTACCTTACGTACGGTCTATGCAATCGATACGAGTATCGCACGATCAACAGCCTCCCCATATTCCGTCTATATTTCCTACTCTCGCATATTCTGTCGCCTAAGAAATGCTGCAACATTGGCCCAGCTAGTTTCAGGTCACGAACGATCAGCAAAGACCATTGCACATCCCGTCATCATCTAGTCCTATTCTTAGTTCTACGACTCCCCTATGTCGATTTGATTTTCCTACTTCATACATCCGAATCAAAGACAACGAGTCAACAAGAGCCACCCCCTAAGTCAGTTCTTGACCGCATCAGGGGCTCGAGTTGCATCCGCTCTCGCATATCTGCACTTGCATTTGCATCGGCATCGGTATGAGAGCCCCGGTAGCACCAAGCCCGGGCTCCTGGCATCTCAATCCCTTGGACCCGACTACCACTGTGCCACTTCACCCTGTCACCCCGTGCCCACTTCAACCCTCAAAGTCTGAAGTCTGAAGCATGCTGAAGGGACTGCGGTGTGCTTCAGCTTCACAATGCCTGCGCCCATCTTCATGCTTGTGCGGCGGCATCTACCGAATGGCCTGGTCATTATCCAACTCTACACAATCCAATCCGAGTGCTACCATCAACAGACGAATTAGTGTTCCATCCAAGCTTCCGGTACAGAATACGGATACCCTCTACTAACACCGTCGCCGCGGCAAAGCCATGTTCTGGACTATGCAGACCGGGGGGTCCGGCCCCAGGACCCTGGCAATGTTCAATTGTCAGCTGCACGCCGGAATCTCAATCGCTCCGCAAACTTGACTGCCGCCGCCCGTCGCCCTTCCAAACCCGGCGCATTGCTTTTGCGTCTGCACTGACGCGCCTGATCGCCTAATTACCACCATGCTTCCTGGCCACTTTGCCTCCTCGTTGGAAAACTCGTGACTATTGACCTGGACCAAGTCGTCGATACCACCGTTTGCGGCTCTACAGAGATACAATTTCTTTGAGCTTTGTCGACAGCCCCAAAAACCCGGCAGTTGAAGGTCGTTGCGCTCTAAAGGCTGGGCCCTCGTGCCTCTCCGCCTGGCTTGACCAACCTAACGCGTTTGGTCATCGCTCGCCTTGTCTATCGATTTCATCTCCGCCATCCGTTACACTCTGTTCAGCCTCGTGGACTATCGTCCTCTGCCCTTTGTGACCTAGGACAAACAGAATCCCGGTCTGGACTTGGCCAAGACTGTCGGGCCGCCCGCTATCTCAGCAATCGCTGTCGCTCGCCTCCTCCCGATTCAGCCCATCTTGGCTGATGGTGGTTGGCGTCCGGAGCTTGCCTGGCCCTCCCTCGCCTCCGTGTCCGTGGGCTCTTCCGGGTCTCAGAACGCCCAGCGGCGCCTCTTCACGCCGCCGTTTGCTTCTTCAGACCGTCTGCTTCCAAATTTACCTCGCGACCCAGACCCCGCGAACCAAACGGCCGACGCCTCGCTCTTGACACCTGAACATCAGTGCTTTGCAACCCCTGTGTGTCCGTCCGTTCAGGTCAATCCTCTCTTCGTCCCATCTCCCCCGGATCCCGAATGTGTGTTTCACACGGACGCCTAGTTGGGCTGGCAGCCCCCGTCCCAGCTTATTTCAAGTTCTTCTGGTAGCATTGCTTGTTCTTTACCCATGAGCTTTTCGATGCTGACGCGTCGGATCTGTCTTGCTACGTCGCAAGCAGTATGCTCTCGTCTGATGAGCCTCACATCAAGAAACTACGACGCTGAAAGCTGAACCCCTGAACCTGATTGAACAAGCACTCGCCTCTCCCTGGTCCTCTCAACTTGGCATCTAATATTTTATTGAGATACACATTTCTTTTTGACTTTCGGGAGCTGCGTCGGGTTTTTGCATGTCTCGACCCTTTCTGGCTGTGTCTATCTCTTGCATAGATCCGCACCATTGAAAACCCACAGAGAAGATGTTTCGCCTTTGATTGAGCTGCAGTCGACGATACAACATAGCCTCAGCGTCAAGCGGGCACTGCATATCAAATAACAAAGACGGAGAAGGGGGAAACGTCATCGGGCCGCAGGCTGTAAACATGCACGCACCGGCTTGGGCCGAGAACTGCAGAAGAAGCTCGCCGACTCCCCCGCACATGAGACCCCTCTCACCCCCGAAACTGGCTGCCGGGATCAGTCCGTGCTTCGGCCGCGACGACAAACGGCACACGCATAACGTCGTCCCATGTCACGCACCGGCCGCCGACGTCCATCCGCATTTCCGATCTTCTTCTTTGAAACGTAAAACAGACTTTAGGCCGAGAGACGAGGGGGGAAGCAGGCGGCCATATATAGCTCCCCGCGACTTCTCGCGTCTCGCTCTGCACCTATCCGGATTGTGCTGCCAACCAGCGCCCTTCCCACGGTCTTGCTCCTGCATCGCATGGTTGTTTCACTTGCAGGTTTCCATCTTGAGTGTTTCTCTATATCCCTTCATATAGGCGAAATCTCCCGCGCGGCCCAGGACATATTTCTCCCCGACTAGGACCAAGCTCTGGAGCTTTGCACCACTTACGCAGCACAACAAGCAATTAACTATCAACGGACGAGAACGCTGGTGTGCTCCCCTGAGAAGCTTCTGCAGTTCGCCGAGCATTGATGTAGTATGCAAACGTATGATTAACAGCGCTATCCCGGCGTGCCATTGTTTGGTGTTTTGGCAGCTCGCGACCTTGTGAGGAAAGTCGTGACCGGCACCAAACACTGTTCAGTTCGCAACCCGTCCTAGATACAGTCAATCTGTGCGGCCCGGCTTGGCGCTTGAAAGAGAATTATTCGTGGCCTTTCACAGGCGAACGTATATGGATGTCGTCTGCTGCGTTGGATTCTGCCGCGGCTTATGATTTTCCGTCTCGCTTTTCTTGATCCCTCTGATACGACGCCCCAGCTCATCACGGGTCTTAGTAAATGAGTTCCATGGCTTCAGCAAAACCACCAGGCCGGTGTTGCCGCTTCATTGATCTGCTGTTCTTCCCTACACTGAAAGTAAAGTCACGATGTTATACGTTTCCTCGGCTTAGAGAACCAAGCCACACCTAGCCAAGTACGGAAGGTAAGGGAACCCATGCGCACGAGACCTCAACAGAGTTCGTCTCGACTGTCCAGTTCCCACTCGGCCCATCTTCTCCACACCCCTCCTCGCATTCTCCATCTCTGCCTCTCTTTCTTCAGGGTATTACTCGTTTGGAAAGGGGAAGCAAAGGTTCAAGGTGCCTGCGAAGGGACGTCTATGGACTGCGCCGAGGGGGGACGTCTATGGGCTGCGCCGAGGGAGGGCTTCTTGCGAGGCTTTTGTTCCTTACTCAATGGGTGACTTGGCATGTTTGCGAAGCTTAAAAGTGTTCATGTGGCAGTCTCGCAACCGCCTCATGATCATGTTTGAAAATCCCGTTGTCGGTTTCCGTTAGGATTTTTGTCCTTGATTTCCTTTTTATTTTGCCCTTTTTACTCATCTCTTCCAAGACTTGGACAGTCAGTATTAGGTTTTAACTAGTTGCCGTGATTCAGAGGGTCCAAGGGACCTATCTAACACGCACGATAAACATCCCATTAGACTAAACCGACTGATTCTTCTTTACACCTCTACTCTAGGCTCAAGGTTACAAACCTTACTTTAGTTACCGGATGGAAAAACATAATACGCGAGGAAACGTGTGTGGCAAGGTTTTGTTTGCTTTGTTGCAGGGGTTCATCTCGGTTTGGGCGAGGCTCCGAGGGAAACCTTGACTCGGCCGACACCGTTGTGCTGCGTGTGCGAGTTCGAGGAAGCAGAGGGAGGTTGGGTATTGTTATTACTTTTCGTCTCATCTTACCGAGCCGAGGCACCTACCCAACTTCAGCATCCATCCCATGGCATTTGCCGTGACCTTGTTTGATCGCATTTTGTTGTTTGCGGGTTCATATCGGTCAACGGAGAGTAGACTCTCCGAACCTCGGAGGTCTCAAGGCTTCTTTCAATCGGGAATTTTAGCTTCATGTTCGATTCGACGCTGATGATTATCAGTGTTACAGTTGTTATTGATCGTACCAAAGTGGCCAGGGTAACGCGACGCGACAGCTACTTCGAGGCAGAAGCATACCAATGGTAGAGCTAAGTCCGATGATCTACTTGCTTTTTGATACCAGTGTGTTTTAGTTCGTTGCTAGATGGTTACCCTTTGATTTCGTGAATCGGGGTCGGGTAAGATGCATATCTGTTGAAGCATAGATTGTGCCTATCACAATACTCCATTGATTCACTGACTCCTTATAAGCCATGTATTTCTGATAGATTGCGCATAGGCTTAGTGTTTGCTACACTTTGCCATGTCGTGTCTTAAATTGTCGAGTATTCAAAGTCAAGTCGATGCCACGTTGCCTCATTCGACTGCCAGAAACTACACAGAAACGGCACCCAGGGAAGATACCCCAGAACCGAACGCGACGATCTACCCTCCATCAGGGGTGTTCATTGTCACCAAACACTCGAAGGATTCCGTTGCTTTAACTACGGCATCCTAATTGAGGCGGGAAAGACTGCGAGAGGCTCCCCACAACCTCTTTCCTGCCATGACTGCGGTTGCGAAATTACCTACCTTGAATGGGTTTCAGAGCTCCCAGCTAGGAGGCATATGAATTCAATGGAATGGACGAACTAGCAGTGTCTGAAACGCAACTCTGGCCATCCCGTACCCCTCTGAGTCTTCGATCACGCACCGAGGGGCGTCAGCAGGTTACGGATTAGGGTAAATGGAAAGAAACCTCGCTAGACACTAACTGGAATTATTTTTCTCTGAAATAGGGGTAGAGAAGTCTCTATAATTTACAAATATGGTTGTTCCTCCGTAGACCAGTTCACGCTTCTTTTTGATTCACACTTCCTTGGTATTACACACCACCCGTCTTCTACATGAAGAGGAACATTGTGTTAAGCATCTACGAAGGACAACTGGAGAGCCATAAAACCAGAAGCAAGTGTAATAGCCATGCCGCTTCCGCCAAAAGCAGTAGCCTCTCTGCTACAGGAGGGATCCCCGCACTCCATCATCTTCACTCTATCCTAGAGATTCTCCGTAAGGCGGCGATCCCAGTCGAAATGCCCGCGACATCACGAGCCGGGCGTAGCCGGCCTCGTAGTGCCTCCCTAAGACCTTGAATGCCTTGTGATGGTCGAGAATTGGGGTCCACCAGCTTCTGGTTCATCCTCACCTGTGGAACAGATCTGGCCATTGCCGATGCCACTGTTTTGAGACGCGGGAACTGATCGAACCAGCTGTCCACCAACGGGCAACAAGATAAGCTCTCTCAATGAAGGAGCAGGCGAAGGAATTTCTCTTCATGTGTCTCGTCTAACAAAGCTTGGCAACAAGTTCCTGAGGTGAACTCGGCCCCGCATGCACCCACGTTGGTGCCTAGTATAAGTATGGACCCCCGTTCCCTCCCCAGTGAAGAGCTTCTTTGTTGGTTCATCTCTCGGCACAAAGATATTCTCCTCGCTCCCTCCGAATGGCAGAACCTTCATACTCGAGGAACGAGCTCGTCTCGGAGCTCACATCGTACTATGAATTCCTCACGCGGCTCTTCCTACCGCCAGAGGTCGTCCAACACCCTCCCGAGGGCGGCTGGGAGCACATCACGCCCGACTTCGTCAAATCTTTCTGCCTCGGCAAGAACGACACCGTGGCGGACCTGATGAGGCACATCCCCTACGTCAGCCGTACCAAGGAGGACCACTGGGATCCGTGGATGGTCTACGAGGGCGCCACCGCTGTCGATTTCACCGGTGATGTCGTCCTGAGCCTGCCCACCAAGTACGCCGACGAGTGGCTCTTCGAGCCTTACGAAGGCAGTATCTCGACCGCACCCCTTCCGCCCCATGTGTTTGTTTACGCGACCATACCGTCCGGCCGCGACGGTCATTATATCCTCATCGACACGGAGCGCGGCACGATTGTTCTTGCGGATCCCCAGACTGGTCCGAAGCCGACCGGGTTATCGGATCCTGTAAGTCTCCCGGAGATGCTGACTGAATCAAGTTTTTCCATGTCTGAATACGCTCCTAATCTTGCGTAATACAGCAAGCACCGGACGAAGAAGCCTGGCGCAGATTTCAAACCTACACAGTTCACGAGTTTTTTCGCCATGGCCAAGGAAAAGTTCAAAAAGTTTGAGATGGTATGCGCAATCCCCATGATTCAAAGCTACTATTGCTTCTTGATGCTCATTACAACACAGACTGCCATGAATAGAAAACAAATATATTATACCACCCGGGACACGCCGCACGCGCAGATATACCGCGAGGAGGGCGTTTTTACGAAACGGTATGACAGGGAGAGGTGCATGAACAGGCTGGACGAGTACCAGGAGCAGAAAGATCGGGCGAATAGGCAGAATCGGGGGGAAGAAGAGCCCGCCAGTGCCTCCGCCGAGAGACATATCCACGATGTGGGCGTCTCTTCGGGAGCTGTATCCTGATATCAGATTTGTTGACGATAAAAGCCTCGACATGCTGGCAAAAGATATTGAGTGGCCGTAGAAAACAATAGATGGATGACAAGAAACATTACCACCACTATCTACAATCTCTTGTAACATTCAATCTGCCTGTCAGCTTCTTTATACCTCGAGGCACAAGTCTTGCGCCCATAGATTCACTGCCGAGTAAAGACAAATCTCTCTATTAATTTTGGCTTCACTACGTCCCAGTACGAGAAGACTTAGCCCAAATGATAACTAAGTAGATGTTTGCCATGCCCGTTTCCATCCTGTCTCTTGTACAATCGCGGCTTGCTTGTATGAAATTCTCTCTTGCTCTAATAATGCGCCATACGTCCATCATGTGTACATCCGTTGGTTGTACCACTCTATCTGACCTGGCATGCCTGGGAAATCTCGACTCTTGAGAACGTATCTTACTTCGCCATGTCACAATGAGAAGTACCGATAGATTTGATAGAGGTACAAAGATATGAGCACGACCAAGCCTTGTTGACATTAATGCTTGAGGCAGGACAGTATATATGAATTGAGTATGACCCCTGAGGAACCTTCGCGTCCTTCTAGCAGAGACTCGCAACATAGGTTGTCTCACAAAGGCAACGAAGCCAGTCGACGATCCCGACGATATATCTTGGACCCCGTTGACTTTTTTTTCCCCATGACATCGTCCACGGCTCGTGAGCTTCTAAACTAGAAGCTCTCGTTCCTCAACCCGTCCCAAGTAATCAATAGACAGAGTACCGACTCACGAGTACAAACGACCACAAACCGGGACCGAGACTGGCTCAGAAGAAAAAGAACAGGGCCCGACGGTAGATGAGTCCACTACGCCCCATCTCAGAGTCTTCTCCCACATCTTTCCTTCGTCTGAGCCAGGGTGGCAAGCAGCAGAGATGGCCGCGCTGCAGCTGCCCGCCACGGGCATGACCCCGAATCGCAAACGACGTCTCTCCGTGACAATGAGAATTCCCATCATGAAGATAATTACCACCAGAACACAAAAAACCCCGAGTGGCGACCACCCGCAGGCTCTCACACCGGCAAACGAGTTCCCCTCTACTAGTCGTACCATAGGCCTGCCATCAGCTGGAGGGACATATACCTCCAGGTTGACGAGGAAGAAGCTCTGAGAAATGAGCCAGTGAAGTCCCCCTGAAAATATTACAAGAGGGAACGAGTAGCGGTACGGCAGTTGAAGGAAGTAGGTATCTCGCTGAGCTCCTCTGCGTGTAGACGAGACGCGAAGACTCTTTGCCTCCTTCTCGTTGCCAAACCTGTCCCATTCAGTAATCAAGGATATACTGGTGTACTGGGCATTGTAAGTGGAGTAAATGAGTGACAGAATAATTTGAGGCGTGTTGACAAGCAGAAGATTAGCAAGTATAGATCCTTGACTCATGTCATCCGTGTTCAGGATGGTCTTGGTCTGCATGGCGCCGAGACCAAGCTTTGTGATATCGCCGCCACCTAACATGTGATTCAGGCCTCCAACCAGCAAACTTGCACAGGCGATGATGAGTCCAAAGTACCTGGTGGCGTTGTCAGCATGTAGATATAATGAAAGGAGGGAAACACAAGCATACAACAAGAAGCAAAGAAACCAAGCCGCTGGGCCAATGGCGACAGACTTCCGTTGCGGTTTGAGATCATATTGTATTGGACCTTTGGACCAATGTTGGGCAACAAAGTGGTCCCTGGACTTGAGGCACATATCCGCAGTCGACTCATCCTGATCTTCAAGGAAAGAGGTCACTGCATCTCCAATGGTCATCAGAGGACCTTCTTCGCCCATTCCGAAGGCGACGAAGAGCATCAAGACGCCTTTGGCAACGTTAAACGCTGTCATAGTCCAGCAGGGAGTGCTGCTGAAGAGGAGCTTGCAATGCTATTCAGTCTTTTGGCTGTAACATTCCTTGACGCTTGATCCCAGAGGCTTCCAGCCTCCCGACGTAGTTCGCAATTCGACCAGATAGTCCTCGCATGTCAAGTTACCAGCGAGTATGCCGGCAATTCTTTCACCTGATTGGCCGCACATCCAAAGATATGGGTATCCCGAAATATCGAAGACCTCAGCCGTACGATTTTCTTCCTTCTTATCATCAAATACAAGGAGTAAGTTTCCTCGTGAGGACAGGAAAGCGACTCGGTGGGCGTCGATGCATCGTGTTGTGTCCATTTCCTCGACGTTATCGCCAAGAAAATTTGAGTACATGCTCTTCCAGTCGGCACTATCGAGTGCGCCTTCGGTCTTTTTCTTTGAAATGTACGCATTCGTATTCAAGACGCTGTAGTCGTTCACTGATGTCGAGCTGAAGATGATGGAGTTGTATCTGATTGTTGATCAGTAAGGGCTCCGGGGGGGGGGGGGGGAGAAACAGTAAAAGAGAAGATGAGGAAGTGTAATAACCATACTTACACCAGATGTTATGGAAGGGATGAAGCTGCAATTAATACCCAGAAAATCTTCTTCTTCCATGTGATGTTCCAAAAGTTTCGAACACTGGCGACCCCAACGTCGAGCCATTGTTGTCTGGCGTGTGCATCGTCAATCTCTGGTCGGGTTGGTGCCATTAAGCCTTGCATACAGTAGTTCCTACCCGCAAGAAGAATTATACCAAGGACGTTGATCAGAATATGGATCCCGGAATTTAGTATTCGGATGGTTGAACAGTCCGTATCAAGCAGAATACCGACAACGTCACTTATCGTGTCACGTTTCTGGATGCTCGCCCATAGTGTGAATACAAAGTTGATGAAAAAAGTTGAGAAGGCTGCCACGGCGAAGTAAAACGCAGCTTGTCGCCATCGACTTTGGGAGAACTTGGGTCTACCCATCGTGATGGTTATCGGCGACGTTGATCGGAGAAAACGCAGAAGAGCATGTTGGAATAGAAGAACATGAGCCAAGGCGAGATGGGAGATAAAAGACCTATGATAGAATTGCAGACACAGGGAAGGTCTTTCTTCGACGCAGCCTGATCTTTAATTAGCCCTACCAAGCGATCGAAGGCTGGTTCGAGATGCAGCATGCCTGCCCGGGTTCACCTCCGTGTAGGATTTACTGACTGCAAGGGCAGTAGTATGCATACGCCTTCCACTCAACGAGGCAGCCTCTCAAACCAGAGAAACCTACCTAAGGTACCTCAGGTAGGATCCCGTTTCCAGCATAAAATACGCCAGTAGTGACTGCCGACAAAACTGTCACTCAAACGCCCGTCACTCTCATTTCGCACTCAGGTAAGGCCTCAAGACATTCTAAAGCGGGAAATCTATCGCAATCGGTAGGCCTACTTTTCATCTACCGTACGTCCAGATTCTCCCTCATGCTGTTTTAATTGTGATATTTCCATGCCGTAAATGCGACCAACCGTGCACCCATACACCAATATTTTTGTGATCCCTCATGATAAATACCCGGCCATCCTCAAATCTTATTCGTTTCCACTTGTTCGTTTCCTCTCCATCTCAAAGATGCTTAAACGAAGCCCTTGAGCACAGCAGCCTCAGCATTGAGGATCGACGAGCCAGCAGCGCCAATGACAGTGTTGTGGCTCAGCGCAACAAACTTGATATCAAAGATTCCGCTCTCATCCTCCCGAACACGGCCAACGCTGACGGTGTACCCCCTACCGAGGTCGCGATCGAGTCTCGGCTGCGGCCGGTCAGGCTCGTCGTGCACGAGGATAGGGCTCTCGGGCGCGGAAGGGCACCCAAGCTTCTGCGCCTCAGAGACGTACTCGCGCAGCGCCTTCTTGACCTCCTCGGCCGAGGGCGCGGGGCGGCGCGCAAACTTGAGCGAGACGCAGGCCGTGTGGCCGTCGAGCACGGGCACGCGGTTGCACGCCGCGCTGACCTTGAGCTGGCTCTGGTCCTCGAACGCGGTGAGGTCCGAGGTGATGGTGCCGAGGATCTTTTGCGCCTCCGTCTCGAGCTTGTCCTCCTCGCCCGAGATGAAGGGGACGACGTTGTCAATCATGTCCATGGACGAGACGCCCGGGTAGCCGGCGCCTGAGACGGCCTGCATGGTGACGACGGAGACCTGGTCGACGGGACCGAAGACGGCTTGCAGGGCCGCGAAGGGAATGACGAGGCCGATGACGGCGCAGTTGGAGTTGCAGACGAGGAAGCCCTTTTCGAGGTTGTGCTGCTTGCGCTGGTGGGGGATCAGGTCGAGATGGGGGAGGTTGACGGTGGGGACGACGAGAGGCACGAGAGGGTCGCGGCGGTAGTTCTTTGCGTTAGAGAAGACAGCGAGGTTGGCCTTGAGGAGTTCCATCTCTGTTTTGGCCGTGGTGGTTAGCCATTGTTTCTCAATCTAGGCGAGTGCAGTCCTTCCTTCGCAGGCGTTGGAATAGCAGCACTTGGGAATACTCACCAATCTGGCCGGCAACGTCAGAATCAAGACCGCTGAAGACGACGTCGCAGTCGCTGAACTCGGAGGCCTTGCACTCGCGGACGACGAGGTCGGCAACGGCGCCCATGGGCGAGGCCTGCTTCCACCTCACGGCATCGCGGTATTTCTTGCCGGCGGAGCGGGACGAGGCGCCGACAGCGACGAGCTTGAGGTACGGGTGCTGCGACAGAAGCAGGATGAAGCGCTGGCCGACGGAGCCGGTGCAGCCGAGAACGCCTTGAGGTGGACTCTGAATTAGCTTTGGATTGTTGGATACATCTTGAAAGGCGCCAAAGTTTGCAATCTGCCGATATCGAGGTTTCCCGATGGCGGAAGGGCGGCAATGGCGGGGTGGAGGGGCTAAAACGTACCGCACTTCTTGACGGGGAATTCGCCCATTGTGAAAGATGACGAAGGGGTATCGAGGGTATCAATTGTCGAAAAGGAGGAATTGGACTGAATCAGCGAGGGCCACAGCTTGGAGATAAATAGAGAAATTGGGCGGGTTGGCAATGTGAGTCAAGGGGAGAGTGGCATGTCGCCGGCGGCGCCCCGGCCCAATAATTTTTGGGGTGAGCGACCGACGTCGGTTGCACCCCGCCATGCCCCGCCATCGGAGCTTTGGCTGTCGATGGACAAGACATTTCCCACTTCCATTGACAAACTTCAGTCTCCACACCCCACCACCTCAGCCAACGATCCAATGATCGTCAATCCAAAGACCGGCCGGGATCTGACGAACATTGAATACAGCATCCGGTGAATAAGAACCTGGTCTCATTGGTCTCGCAACAGCTGTTATCATCGTCTGTCACCATCCCGGTCGTTCGATATGAGGCAATCCCCGGATCCCGTCGAATTACTACGCTCTCCCGTACCTGAACCCTTTGTGCCGCCTGCAATTCGCGAAACAACTCATGAGCGGATCTAGAAAACGCCTTTTGCGGAAACAGTTCATGCGTTTATTGTCTTTCCTCCTCTAACACTAAAGCAATGCTGGTCGAAAACATTCCGATGTAACCCAACCCCCAATGACCCAGCATCCTACTAAGCTGCCGTCAACAAAAAAACACTTGAGACAGATCAAATCACATCTGCGGCTGACACAGGCCGACCAAGCATCGACAACTCAAGTCCTGGTTCTTCGGCCGCTTCTTCATCATTCTGTGGGGCGTTTCCATCAGGGCCTTGCAAACTTCTTGCAACTTTCAAAGTATTGAACTGGTCCAGATTTGGAACGAAGCAAGCGGCGATCAGGAGAATAGCGGAGAAAGGGATGATGGCAAGGAAGATCGATCGAAGTGAATAACTGTATCCGGCTTGAATTGCGTTGGTAATTGCAAACCTGGAGAGTATGCTCACTGATGTGAACGCCGTCAAGTTGGTTTTCCCGTTCATTGTTGCTTGCTCTCGGATGGTGGTGGCCAGTTGTTTCAAAATGGGGCCGGGCAGGATAGCGTCCAAGACAACTGGCGTGACGGACTTGGTCAGCTCCTCCTCCAGCTTTTTCCTCAATAACAAGGTAACTAATGCCCTTGCGAAGGCACAGCCCAAGCTACACATTGAGCCGAGGACTCCTGATGCGAGGCCGATATCTTGCGGTTCCCACACAAGGGTGACACCAGTGATGGCAACGGCAACAATGTGGCCAAGAGCTAAGACGCATGTATCAGTCAAAAACTCTCAGGCAACGCCTGGCGATCGCCGCAAGACTTACCAAAAGACGCACATATGCCCGCCAGAACAATTAGTCCATGGCGGATGTCAAACCATATAGTGCATAATGGAGCCATGAGAGCCAGAGCGACACCTGACGCTACCATACACTGTTTTCTGAAGCGTTCACCACGTAGTGACGGAACAGCTGTCGAGGCTATTCCGAGTGTGGCACCAAAGGGTAGCAATGAGGCAGACCAAGCAACCGTGTCCGAGTCCTTGTTGAAAACCTTTCCGATAACAAATGGCCAGAGGACGGTGAGGGCATAAAAAACCATCGAGGAGAAAGTTGCACAAGCAACGAGACTTGCGAACTGAACATTCTTGAACATCTTTGGAGGCATGAGAGGCTGTTCGGTGGTGGAAAATGCTTCTGCGATACGTTAGAAGATATGTCAGAATATTCGAATGCGATCCAACCTTACCGTATATTACAAACAAGACAAGCGCTGAGAAACCACCGACTAGGGTTCCAATGACCTCTTTGCCGACAGAAGGGTACGAGGAGATTCCCAAACAGAACCCGAGTGGCAACAAAACGCAGCCAGAGACGTAAAGGAAGATACCGACAAAGTCCAAATGCTTGATCATCTCAAGCTTGGTCTTCCCAGCCACATTGAGCTGCAAGAACGAAGGTGGGCGATAGAGTCCCAGATACAAGAGAAAGGAGACGAAAGCCAGAAAGGCTCCCGTGTAATAGCCCCAACGCCATTGCACCGGGCTGCCATCGTCCAACAATGATGGGATTATGGCAGAGCCCAAACCAGCAACAATGAATGGCAGTACTAAAGTACCGGCAACTGTTCTTGCTCTGTCCTTGTTCGGCACGAGTTCGGCTACAGCAACTCCAAGAGGTAGCTGGGCGGCAGCAGCCAGTCCGTTGCAGATATTGGCGGCGATGAGCATCTCGGCGTTGACCGCAAAGGAGCCGAGGAGGCAGCCGACGACTCCCAGAAGGGAGGTTCCGACAATGAAGTGCCTCCGTCCGTACAGGTCTGAAAGTCGACCGAGGAGGAGAAATCCGATGGAGCTTCCCATGAACTACATGATTGGCGTCCAATGCACCTTATCTGTCTGGGGTAGGTCTGTATGGAACAGCACACTATTGTTTGTCATTAGTATGAGCCAAGGGGGGCCGTATTGTGTTCATGATCACAGCACGTACCTCGTGTTTCCGGGTGCTACCCAACCCAGAAACGCAGCTGTGATGGCCAATGATTGGGCCTGGAGTGTATCAGTCAGATTTAATAACAACAACAAGATGGAATGGATTACTTACCAACATCAATAGCCAGATTCTGCTACTTTCTGACGAGATGGTAGTGCCGAGAGCGTCCCTGTCCACATTCCGGACGGTCCCATCGATGTGTGTCACCTGGAGATGGCTTCCCATGTTTTCGAAGTCCCAGCAGTCGTCATTTATGACGGCTTCTC